GGTGGCAGAGAGGGAGATAGAAACTGCCGAAGAGGGAGGAGAAAATGGAGGAGAGAGTGTCGGAGACGGAGAGAGGATGAGGCCGGCGGTTACAGTGAGAGGGGAGAGAGAATGGATGAATGATGAAAATGATATAATTAGGGTTTTGGATAAAAAAAATATAATTAATATTTAATATTTCAAAATAAAATATCTAATTTTGGAAATATTAAACTTCCAATCTCATTTTAGAAGTTAAAAAACTTAAAGTATGGTTTTATGTAATTACCACTAAAAATAATCAAGACAATAAATTAAAATGAATAAAAACAAATTATAAAAAAGGAAGAACAAAAATTTGAGCCCACTAAACACTTTAATATATGCAGTTAAAAAAAAATGTCGAACCATCATCCAATTCATCACCCTCCACCCAAATATAAATAGCCTTGACACACGTTCATGCACTCATTCTTTGTCTCATAAAACACTCAAGAAAACCCTCCTTGCCCACGCCATTGACGGCAGTTCATAGTTCCGACTTCCAGGTACCCCTTTTTTCTTTCCATTTATGCCATATAGTTCAATTTTTGGATCCACGCAGTGTGAAATTAATTGTCCTTTCATTTGTTCTTGGAAATTCAGCTTTGATTTAATTGCCATTTAATACTTGAATTAACACCAAATGCCGTCTGGGAAGAACTCAAAAAGAATTCGGGAGCTTTATCAGTAAATTCAAATATAAAAAACACCTGATTTTCTCAGTTGCATGTACATGCACTCCATCATTCATTTTCACATGAAATAATTTTTTTTTTCAATTTTCATTATTTTTTACTCAGAATCACTAGTTTCGATCAATTCATCAATTGTACATAATGTTTTTTGTTCGGGTCTCCGGCTTTGTTTCTTTCAACTTTTCTTTTCTCTCGGAAAACCCTAGTTGTGTAATATTTGGTTTTTTCTTCAATTTTACTTATCATTCTCAATTTTGGGAACTGTTTCTAAAATGCTGAAATTTAATCAGTAAAATGTGAACCTTTTTTTTTTGTCAAATGTAGGCTTAATTTTTGCTTTTCAATGACAATAAATGATTAAAAAAAAAAGTAAAAGATTTTTTACAAAAAAGTAAAAGATTTTTTTAATCTGGAAAACCCTAGTTTATGCATTTGTTTTCTTTACAAATTGTAAACTTTGGTTTTTGTCTTCAATTTTACTTCTTCTTCTCAGTTTTAGAACTGTTTATAAAATATTGACATTTAAAATTAGTAAAAAGTGAATGATTTCTTGGTTGTTTATTTATTTTTGTCAAATCTTGGCTTAGATTGGGTTTGCTTACAAATAATTGAAAAAAAAAAAAGCAAAATTTCTTTTGCAAAATGTAATTTTTTTTTTTTTAATTATCATCTCAGAGAAGCCTAGTTTGTATTTTTTTTCCAGTTATATTTGGGCTTTGCATTCAATTTAATTTCTTATTCTCAATCTTGGAACTGTTTCTGAGAGCTGAAATTTAAAATCAGTAAAATGTGAAAGAATTTTTGTTTGTTTATTTTCATTTCTTTGAATTTTTCAAATCTAGGCTTAATTTGGGTTTTGAATGAAAATAAATGGAGAGGTGGAAGATCTTTTTTTAACAACATTTAGTCTAGATGTTTTTTAAACCTTTTTGGGTGAACTTTTAGCATCCATGTTAGATGAAGTGATTTTCTATTTCCTATAAATGCTTATACAAAAAGGATATTAAAAGAAGTCCGCAGGTTATTGGGCAATTTATTTTCGTTTCATACTCTACTGATTGTTTTTATTTTACCTATGTAGCTTTCACTCATTTACTTCATTTGTTTTGTAAATATTTATAATATTTTAGTTTTTTTTGCAAATTATGAACAAATCTTAAAAGAAGTCCAACATGTCTCGTGTTTGTTCTCTTTGTTTTTCAAAATAGTATGAAATTAACAAAAATAGTTTTTTATGTGAATTGTGTATTTCTAATATATGTGAATTTCAATTTCTGATTATTGGGCATCCATATTTGCCAGCAGTTATTATTGTTGAAATTAAAGTTGTTTCTTTTATTTGATGGTTGATGTCTCTCATTTTTGTATTTCTCTTAACCTCTGAATTGAAAAACTTTTAGACCCCCTTCCTCTTAACTTCTCAATTGGTAATCTCTTCAAACCCCGTGCATTACTGCCCTTATTTCTCTCTTGTCTTACAGCTCTTGCATTTGCTTTTCCTGCCTGAATTTAGAATTTTACCACATATAAGTTTAGTGTTAACATCTTGCTTAAATTTTTTTTTTTTAATATTCATGTGGCAAAACAATATTTAGTTTGAACAAGTAATCCTATCCGAGCGTCGTGTGGTCATTTAAGGAATGTTTGTCTATTTGACTTTCTATTTTCAACTTAGGTTTTATTACTATCTATAAATAGAATATGTCATCAACTAAGAATTTTTATGTATAAAATATGCAATCCATACTGTTCCAACACATATTCCTATCAGCCTTTATGTCATCGTTTAAGGGATTATTTGTGTTGTTCGACTTTATTATAGAATATAACACCAACTATGAATTTTTTTTGTAAAATATGCTATAAATACAGTTTGAAGAATGCATTTTACTTCACTTGATGTGCTCATAGGACTTTGAAGTAGGTTCTTCAAATGTTCATAAAAATAAGTAAAGAATTTTATGATCTATCAACTGCCTTTTGTTTCAGAAAATCTTTTTTGTGGGCTACAAAATAATCCTAAAACCAAAAGCATTTACTTGAGCTATCAGGTTTTCTTGATAAAAGTGCGGTTTTGACATGCAATATAGCTTATATTCAGTCAACACTGTTGTTTTTTCACATAGATTTACTAAGATAAATTGTGGGTCCAAACTTCCGATTGCTAATCAGCTAATTCATTCTGTGCTTTTAAGCTTGGAGTTTCCAAGAGACTTTGGACTTCTAAGTATTTCTCATCTCATTCCATGTCTTGGCTGTAACTTAATAGAAATCTATCCCAATTGGCTAATTTTGTTTTGAGCTGACTTTATTTCCTGTTATGTAATTCTTATACGAGTTGTCCTTGATAAAACTGCAGGGCTAGAAATGGATACCGGAGGTAATGCCTTACCATCTGGAGCAGATGGAAAGAAGAGAAAAGTGTCCTACTACTACGATCCAGAGGTTGGAAATTATTACTATGGGCAATTTCACCCAATGAAGCCACACAGGATGAGGATTACTCATACTCTCCTCGCGCATTATGGATTACTCCAAAATATGACTGTTTTGAGGCCAAATCCTGCTCGAGAGAGAGATATTTGCAGGTTTCATGCAGACGATTATGTCAAGTTCTTGAAAACGGTCACCCCAGAGACACAGCAGGATTACATGATGCAATTGAGAAGATTTAATGTTGGTGATGACTGCCCTGTATTTCATGGTCTTTACTCCTTCTGTCAAACTTATGCCGGAGGTTCTATTGGTGGAGCGGTCAAGTTAAACCATAAAAAGTGTGACATTGCAATAAATTGGGCTGGTGGATTGCACCATGCAAAGAAATGTGAGGCTTCCGGTTTCTGCTATGTGAATGACATTGTTCTTGCAATTTTGGAACTCCTCAAATATCACGAGGTTGGTCCACTCGATTCCTGTTTTAACCATTATACTTAATGGTTGTGACTTAATTTTGCTTCCTTAAGTATACTGTGTCTTCTTGCCTTTGTTGATTTATGTACTATATATAAATTCAAATGTAACACGGAATGAAATTCATAAATAAAGGAATCTGGTTGTTATTGGAGGTGTACTGAGGAGTATCACATCATAACAACTAAATAAGTTTTACCACTATTTACTAATTTTTAGGATATGGCT